CTCAGCCCTAGGAAGCAGGCAAGGGCAAACCACTTCTGAAACCTTGCCAAGAAAACTGCAGGGACTTGTTCAGGCAGTTGCCAGGAGTCAAAACTGACTCAAAGGCACATACACATACTCACACACACACAAACACACAAAGTGAAAAGCCTGTCTATAATTAACAAAACAAATGTATTTTGGGAACTCTCTTCCTTTTTTCACTTTCTACCAGATGTTAGCAATGTGATCTCAGACGCCTCTGCCTATTCTGAATCCAACTTGTACATCAGGCAGTTCTCATTCCAGATACAGTAGATGTCTGGACTGCAAAATCTTAAACATTAAGTGCAAGTGTAGTTTAAGCATTTCTTACCATTTTCCTTGTTTGGTATTGAAAATACATCTATATTTTCCTGCGCTTTTGCCAATGCTATGTTTTTCATAATTGGTTACAAGCCTCATATAACACTTTAACCGAATCATCTTGTAAGGTTTTAAACAGTTCTGCTGGTATATTATCCAGAAGCTTTACTGTTATCAATATTTTGTATCCTATTTCTATTTTACTTTATATCTGGTTCTAATTAGAATAGTACACTAAAACTATGCTTTCAGTGTAGCCTGTCAGTGAGAAAATACTTGTGGCATCATGCTAAATTTCAGCTCATAAACGGATAATAGTGCTCAATTTTTTTTATTACCAGCATAGTTTATTTCAGGGTTTTAGCTAAAGATGATTCTATGTTAACTTTAAAATGTGCTTATTTCTTTACAGGTAAAAGGCCATTTGAATTATCTGCAGTACAAGAAAATGTATTTAATTGGAGCCAAGTATGGCTTTTAAAATGAAAACTCTGTGTACTATACATATAAACATGTCAATTTTCATGCCTGATCTTTAGCATTGCCCCCATTTCCTTCTATTAATAATTTCCCAGCAAAATGATTGAGCATTTACATCCAGGATTCTCTTTTATTTATGTCAGACAGGGTTCTTGTGTTTTTAGAAGTAGTGAATAGTATGTTTCAGTATAGGAGAAGTAGGATGGAGAAAAGTGCACAATCACAGCTTTCAGGGGTAAAGGATTCTTCCAGGAGGCAGTGAAAGATGGCAGCTTCAGAAGTAGATGGTAAAGTAACTGAATAGCTGAATTCTATGTTACTTATATTAAAAAGAACACTGTGATGAATGTAGCTGAAATCCAGTTCACAAAAAGGTCAAAAGTATGAGCTGGGAGTCAGGAAGAAGTTTCCCATTAAAATTCCACCTCCGCTGTGAACCTATTAAGCACCATATCCATGCTGAAATCTCTCAGCTTCAACCTTCTGTCAGACTTGAGAAAAAACTCTAGAAAAATAGTACCAAGTTATTGTGTCAGTGAAGTATTTTAGAGTATTCCAAATTGCAGGTAAAATCACATTATATTTAAGTGTGTTACTATTATTATAGAAGAAATGCAAATGTGTTTGTCAACTTTTTAAAAATTTCTATCTCATGTCCACTGCTTTCTGCATTATTGCTCCATGTATTTGGACTATTCCTAAGTTCAGCATCAAACCATTTCTATTGTTGCCAGAATTAATTCATTAGTAACAGCTTTCTAAAATTACTCATCCTTCCTATTGAAATCAAATTCTGGCTTTTCCCATCTTCCTTATCAAACCTGACTACCCTACCTCCATTCTGTTCTTTTAATTGTAGTCCATAATTCCTCTAGCCCAAAACCACTTTTGTCATGCTCCTACCTCATCCCATAAAGTATACTTAAGTTACTAAAGACGTGAAACCCAACAGGACCAGTCTTCTCTACCCAAGAATGTTTTTCTGAGATGTCAAACCCCCTTTTTCAAATCATTAAGATATTTACATCATATAACCATCTCCAAATTCCAAAGAGCACTAAATTTAGCATGCTTCAATGTTTTCCCCACAGCAATTTTGGAGGACCGATATAAAAACGTTCCCCATGAGCTAAAATTCTGCCCCTGCAGACAAGGGACTATTGAAACTACAGCTCATGTCCTGCTATACTGTACCCTCTATAAAGATCCTCAGACTTGCCTTATAACTCCTTACCTGGTAAAACACCCAGGAAATTTGGAACTTTTTTTATGTACAGTTGTTGTTATCAGACCAGCATGATTTAGTTTCCTTGAACGTGGCCAAATTCTGTTATACTCCTTGTAAAATTAGACATACCTTGACTGCCCACTGATGAACCCACCACCAATTGCAACATTCTTATCATGTTTTGTTTTTATTTTTTTCAATGTGTAACTCTGGTCTAGGACCATCATAAAATTCTCTCTCTCTCTCTCCTCAATATTTAATATTAAACTGTTTCCATTTGTGTACTCTCTCTTTCTCATCTTCCAGAAGAGCAGGACTCCAAAATTTCCTTTTCATACTTTTTGTGATTGGACAAAATTATTTCTTATCAGAACTTGAGGTCACATTTAATACATTTCAAATGTTAACAGATAAACATATGTATTATCTAATATTTTAAAAAGGAAGAAAAGAATAAGAACAACCCTGGAAATATGTAATAATGGAAGAACTCAAGGACAGCTAGGTAGATTACCTACAATTCCTCTTCCTTGCTCCCTACCCCCTTTGAAAAAGAACTAATTCAAACAGAGGACATGACACTGCTGCAGATCAAGTGTAGTTTTATCCTTCTAATGTAGGGTTTAATTTTTTTCCCCTATTTTTATAGATAGAATGGGGAGGCTGCTATCCTGAGTGGAATAAATGATCTTGTATAAATCATTTGGAATTTAATCTATAGTTGCTTTGAATGATTGAATAGAATGGATAGGAAGCAGCGAATGCTTTAAGAAAGGTCCAATATATCTTTGAAAAGATGTTGGCTCCCCAAGACACCCTGTGAGAGATATACGTTCTTGAAATTCAGAAAGTAGAAATAAATACAAAATGATAGAATAAGACCAATAATATGTAGTTTTGACATATGTAATCACATGGATACTACAATTCTAACTTTGTGAGCCTTCAAAAAGTAAACCAAATAGCCACAGGCTTTTAATCTGGAAGGCAGTGAATGTCCAGAACAAATTCAGTGCTCACATTCTGAAGAATTTGTTGGGTGAGTCCATTCTTTCAACTTCCACCACAGAAGAAGCATGTATTTATAGCTCCAACATTCCAAGAAAATATTCATTTAGAGTTGTGTGCTATATTTGCAGTCAGGATATCGGTAAACAAAGCGGGAATCACAGATCTGCAAAGGTTTCAAAATGCTGACTAGCAGTTGAGTTGCTGTGATAATCTCTTGGTCAGTAAGAAAACTCTCTGCACAGATATTCAAAGCGCTGTCAATCTTCTCTTGCAGAGGTGATTGGAATTTTTCTTTTAAGAGGTTAGGCAAAAGTTTCTCACATACCATGATGAGGCTCTGGCTTTCCTTGATGGAATTACATGAGGGGAGCACAGACTCACAATCTGCAGCCAAACAGCTAAATATATCCTTGTATTTCTGTTCTCTTTTCCTCAAGTCTCTGCCTATTAAAAAGTAATGAAAAAGTTTGCTTACAAACATAAATATATTGTTATTATATTTACTAGGAGGCAATAAGCAGTTTTCTTTGGGTAAAGCACAGAGAAATTTAAAATACAAAAATAATAGCAATGTTATGATAATAAAAGTGCATTGAATAAAACTGAAATAAATCAGAAACAAAGAGTAAAAGCAATGTAGTACAAAATAACATTAAAATAAAAGCCAGCAACAAATATATAAAACAATACAAAGATCTAAAGGCACTCAAAAGTTCTTAAACTATTTGGCAAAAAACATATCCCTGATACTGATGTTGCCAAGAATCAATTTGGATTGCAGCAGACTATAAATATACAAGCAAATAATACTAAAAATATCATCTTGTAAGCAAATATTTTCATTATAAGCACATGCAGTGTTGACTTTGACATTACTTTCATTCTCTCATTCATATATTTATTTGACAAATGATGTATCTAATTACTGGACTTACTTTTATTGTTACTTTTAAAGCATCATTGTGAGAAGACTTTATTAAAGATGTATTAAAGTGTATAATTCCATCTATTTTGACAATCAATTCTTTAGTCTGGCTTCAACAGAAATATTTATAATCTGCCACATGCTCATTTTGACACTGTTTTCTGCCTATATAATTAATTAATTGACCTATCATTATATGAGTTAAGCTGAAGAAAAAGTGAATTGAATGTATTTTGCAGCCCACCTATCAGCCCCACTAGATAGACCAGATCAGGAAATCAACTCCATAGGAAGACTAGAACTACGTTTATTGAGACTGGCTATAATAACAGAAACTTGCAAGTCTGATTGTGCTTCCCTCCCAACCCCTTCTTATACTCCAGTGAATCAGGGGGGCATCTGCCTGATTTATTTCTGAATATTATCTTATTTCTCAAGGCTTAAAAATCTTTAAGCCTCCTTTACTTAGGTAACAGCTCTTGCATATTTCTGTCAGTCATCTTCCTTACTCTCTACACGGCCTCCTAACCTGTTGTGACATATTATTCAAAGATGCATCTGAGTACCTTCTTGTTTGTCAATGACTCCTAGCATGCTGGCATCCTGGATAAAGAGTTGTCCATTGTTGAAAACACCAAATGTGTCAGCATCAACATGAGTAAAGTAGAAGAAATAGTTCAGGTCGTTATTCATCATGAAATCAATAATAGCGAGGAGTTGAAGAGCTAGATCTGCTGTCACATCAGAAGATGAGCCATAAAATTCCTTCAGAGGTCTAGTACTGGCTGTCACTATTAGACGGCCACAAGATCCAAAATATTTTGGAAAGGGCCATCCTTCTGCTCCAGGGAAAATCTGCCAAAGAAAGGAAATGTGAAATGTGTCCATGATGATATGGAACTATTTGTACTAGCTTCCCTCACGTTAATGGCCTCCTGATATCACACACTTCCACTCCCATTGCCCCTCTATTTAAAAATGACTAATTCTAGTGTAATCAAAGAATATGTATCAGGTTGGGTATAGTTTTGGTAGGGCTATCATGGCTGGGTTGCAAAAGTCCAGATGACCACTTGATTCCAGCACAGAAACAGGAAAGTCAAACATTGCTGCAGTTATGTAATTATCCTTTTTCAAATCTCTTCTTTTCTATATTTTTTCTAAATAATTTCTAAAGAAATTTCTTACAAGTTTGGGAGAAAATAAAAGACCCTGTAAGTGCAAGTTCTAGTACATTAGGTTTTTTAAGACTTAAATTATAAAACTGCTTTGTGTATAAAATATTAAACTTCTCAACTGTTAAATTTAGTGATTTTAATTTATTTACTCACTTATCCACTAAGTGAATAAAATTATGCAGTAGGCTAATTAACAATGAAATATTAGTTTGATAAAATATTGCTTGAAATATTAACATATTTAAATATGTTAAAACCATTAATGTTAAAGAATGTTAGTCCATTAACCAATTTGTTATTACAAGTCAGTGCCAATATTTAGATTCCCTACAATCAGTGTAACATGCTAAATTCTACCATCCTTATCTAACTAAAATTTGAGCTTCTCTTTATTATAGTGCCATATGGAGCATGCCGCTAGAAAAAAATTCAATAAGCCACATAATTTTAGGCTTTTTATTCCTGACACTATGCTTGAAGATTCGGACTATTTTCTGATATTCTGCTCTTAGCATTTTTAAAATGTGTCCTTTTTGTTTTTCAGTTTATTAGGCAGATCTTGGTGCAACTATGGTGGTTTCAACAGGTGTGTCTCCCTTTTGGTCTTTCTTACTCTTTGGTATAGTTTGTGTGCGCCTTAATTATTTCTTTCTCAGAATTTTCCTTAACTGTTTTTCCTTTCAGGATTTCCCATCCATGGAATCCTTCCTACTTTTTCCCCTTAGCTTTTTAAGTCAGCTCTCTTGAACTTTAGAATACTAGTCTGGCTGCTTTCAGTTCTTCCTGCCCTGCTATATGGTGAATACTACTATTAAATGGTCACTCTCTCCCATGGTTCCTACCACTTCCACTTCTTCAACCACTTCTTCCCTGTTAGGAAGTATTAAGTCCAATATAGCTGATCCTCTAGTTCCTTTCTCCACCCTTTGGATGATGAAGTTGTTTGCAAGTAATGGCAAGAACCTGTTGGATCTCCCACTTGTTGCAGAGTTTGATTTCCAGTTGATGCAGGGTAGTTGAAATCCTCCATTATCACAGTAGTGTGTTTCTGGGACACCCTAGCCATTGGGGATATTTCATCTTTAACCTTGGATGGGATTGCAGTTCCCCATTCAAGAGTGGTGGGAACTGAGCCTGCTGTCAGGGTGTCATCCAGGGCTCAGCAATATATCTCTCTGTAAGAAGTGAAACCTTCACTCAGGAACTAGCAGTGAAGCCTCAAGTACAAAGTTCTTATAGACAGGCTGTTTTTGTTGTTGCTGTTTTGTTTTGTTTTGTTTTAATACTAAGACCTAATAATGAAGATCAGCTACTGCAGAATCAAGCAGTCAAGGCTTCTGTTTATAACAGCCCCAGGGTTTAAACCTTACATCTCTTACTTAAATTAAGACTTCTTGACACTTGCTTTGATAATAGCATGCCTGCTCTCAGTCTTTCTCCTTCTGGACTTCCCAGCTTCAGCCCTCACATAAAAATGCCTTGGGTAGTTGTCAACTACTTTAGAGCAATGAAGTTTAAAGAACAAAAAGCAATGTATAATAATTCTATTTTTAAAAAAGTATCTGTTCCCTTTCAGGTTTTTTTTTTTCATTTCTTTGATACAAAATGTTATCAGAGCTTCAGGTGTGTCCTAGTGATATAGGAAGGAAGGGAGTGAACAAATAGCAGCAAAGTTTAGTGCTTGTTTCATATTTTATAAACAAAATCATCCAACATATGATGCAACACAGTGAAAAGGTAATTGCCCCCTTAGATTTAGTGACTGGCTGTACTACCTTCAGCTTCTTGTAATTGATGATCAATCTCTGACATCATTGTGACCCATTCCTGCAAGCAAACTGCTTCAACTCATTGATACTAAAGGGTTTTCTAGAATGAGTTATTCATTTTAGTTCCTGCCATAATATTTATATTGTTTTTAATTCTGGACTTTGATTCGTCCAATCCAAATGTTGAATTTGTTTATTTTCATCCATTCTCTTATAGTCTTGCTTGTGTGTTTGGGATCACTGTCTTGCCAGATGACTCATTTGCAGCTGTCCATTGGCTGATGGACAGATGAGCTGATATTGTCTTGTAGAATTCTCTGACACAAAGAAGAACTCTTTTTCCTTCAATGTTGGTAAGCTGTCTAGGTCCTGAGGTAGCAAAACATCCTCAAGCAACAACACTACCACATCTGTGCTTGACAAATTATATGAGGTTCTTATTGTGGAATGCAGTGTTTGGCTTTGTAGACATAAAACACCCATGCAGCCTAAAAAGTTCCACTTGTGTCTCATCTACGCATAAAACATTCAGAAGACTGGAGAGTCATCCAGATGCTTCTTGGCAAACTTGAGGTGAGCATCTATCTTCTTAGTGAGCCATGGCTTCCATTTTGCTATTCTTTCATGAATCCTATTTCTACCTAGCACTTTTATGATTATGGAATTATGAACACTTTAGCCATCTATAGATTCCTGAATGACCAGGGTGATTTTTGTTTGGTTGTTTTTGTATGGGGTTAACTTTTTGGACAATTTTGTGCTGTGCATTTGATCTGATTTTGATAGGATACTTTTGGGAAGATTCATTATTGTCCCAAATCTTTTCCATTTCAAGACTATGTCTCTTATTATGGATGAATGGAGCCTTAGAGCTTTAGAAACAGTTTTGTAACCTGTTACAGACTGATAAGCCTCAATTACATCCTATAGAGGTCTTCAGATATTTCTTTTGAAGAAGCATGGCATTTCTCTAGGAGCAATGATGAGGGAAGCCAAAATTTGTGAAATTCACATAGGGCATATACCCATATTTGTCCTGATTATTAATGAATTCTTGTCTAAGTGGTTGTAGGTATCTCTTACACTGCATTGAGTGACCTAGGGGGCAGTTGCATGTTGGTTGATTTGGTTTCTGAAATAAAGCAAGCAATTGTTGGTGTTACTTTTTCATTCAGACTCCCTTTATATATCAGTAAGACCCACATGAAACTCTGATAACACTGAGTGGCAAAGATGTCCAAAATTGTAAAATTGTAAAAGGGAACAAATACTGGTTCACAAAATCGTATGAATCAGTGTATAGTATGGACATGATAGAAGCAAGGATGACTTCCAAGGATTAAAAAGGTATGAAAAGGTATAGTGAATGGTGCTGATATAGACAGATTTCATTTTCCTTTCCTTTTCCCTTATATCCTGCTTTTAATTTCTTTTATTATTTTGTAAACTTTTTCTGAGCATAACACTGTTTACCCCAGAAATATGCGTGGATGGATATATAAGAACTTATCTCCCTGTGCAAATAGAAGTTCCAGAAAAAAGATTTCATCAGGGCCACCGCAGAAAAATAAAACCCTTCCCTTATTCCAAGGATCCCTATAATTATTATCATCCCCATCTCCAGCAGCTGCCATTGCGTTCTTTCCAATGTGGATACACAGCTAATGTCATACGTAGTATTGTCACAAGCTCTACTGATTTCAAGTTATTGCAGTACACTGGTAAAATATTCTTGTGGGTTTCAATGAAATTTGTGGTTGCTTTGTTGTTGTTCAGTCGTTAAGTCATGTCCCAATGAACCATATCACACCAGGCCTTCCTGTCCTTCACTGCCTCCCTGAGTTTGCTCAG